GGGTTATCCCTAAGAGATAGACATATACCATCGCGGACTTTTTTGTTGAACTTTTTAAGGTGAACAATACTGTAGTATATTATTTTGGTCTATCTCGTAGGGTTCAGCCAGCGTTTGCAATATAAGCGCAAAAAACGTGCTTATTTACGACATCAAATTAGAAACCTTTAAATTTATCAGTGTTTCTCTACTATATTATGCATTTATTATACATACAAACCTTCCTTAAGAATCACTCTATCTATTAAAAAAAACCGCATCAAAATCCGTTGCGTAGTTTTAAAGATCTAAGCATACATACGGACATACAGCGAAAGCGACTTTGTTTTATACTATGTATTGATGTGGTTCTCCTGTGCACTGTCTGTTGGGCATGAATAAATAAAAAAACATTAGGTTTCAAAATGGTTACAGAAGGTGATCTAGTGTAGGACAATAGATTAGATTTCAGAAATATTTACAGTTCTTGGTGAACTTACATCCAATAAAATAGATAAAAATGTAGACACAAGTATAAATTTAGTTACATCTGTATTTAAAATATCTTTGAGAAATTATAGTGATGGAAAGGACTGCTGTTGATGTAATATAAATGAATGAACTGCTCCACGGTTTCGTTAAGTTTTTAGTCCTGACTAAGTCCTGAGTTGTAAATATAACTAAGGATTTTAGTAGGGGGGAAAATCGAATGACTGCTCCCGCCTAGGTAAGGCGGGAGGGAGTGTCAGACTCTTACTGACTAAAAACTACCCCATTCCTTCTCCTGCACGTCGAGCCGGAGCCCTGGTAACCCGTTAGGTTCTCCGCGACATGTAATTAGGGATAATTTTGATAAAAGTTACTTAGAAAGATACTGATAGTCACAAAGCTTTTTGCATATTTTCCGTACATTTTGTACTCTAACTCAATGTTTCCTATTTCATAGAACAATGACGTTAAAAAAACTTAATACAAACATTGCATCCACATTATCACACACAGTACACGCTAACACGCGAGGATGAATCGGCTGATCAGCTGATCCTGTATGTCAAGTACGCACTCCGCTAATCTGTGTTTGTATCTTACACTCGAGAGGGAGTGTAACGAACTTTCAGTTTACAGGAAATCTCCAAGAGATAGGAAACTATTGAACACCTTTATAAATATCAGGAATATAAGGTATCTCCGAAAATTAAGACACTAAAACATTTTCCCATTTTTGATACTTTTGTCTCCGTTCGATAGTTTGAGACTTATAATTCCATGTTTAGCATCCAGAACACCTAACGACAAAGGGAAGTCGAGCATACATAGAGTAACACAGACAGAGTTACGCGAATATGGGTAAATAGAACAGGGGAGCTGATTGAGAATATGCGTAGTTTTCAACGGAAATAACCTCACAGATTTGACAGATCATCCTGGAAGACGAACTAAAATTACCAGTGAAGAGGAGATGAACGTTGTTCGGATATGCAAATCATTCAGATGCTGAAAGGTTCTAAATGGTACCAACCGTACGAAACATAGTGGGCACATCGAAGTAATCCTGAGGAGAGTCAACGGCAACAGCGAAGGGCGCAGCGCAGATGTTCCGCAAGGCCCTGAGTGCCGCCAGCGACAGCGTGGCAGCCGCCGTGGTGGACAGCAGCGTGCGCGCGCTGTCGCCCGTGCACTCGTTCAGCAGGTTCCATACTCCACGCCACGCACCCACGCACGCCACGCCTGCCACGGCCGTGCATAGCCGCGACACTATGTAGTATGTCAGCCTACCCCGTTCGGGCCTAAGGTATTTACTCAGTTGCGTTTGGAACACGGAAAACAACAAGTCACAGCACAGTCCGAAGGCAGCACACGCGGCCGCGCTGCCCACAGGGTCGTCGGGCAGCACGTACAGGTCCATGAGAGTCCATGTGGACTTCCAGTAGGTGACGACGGCTGGTGCCACCACGAGGCTCGCGAAGAGCACGTCGGCGCACTCGAGCAGAGCGGCGTGCGCGCGCGAGCCGCTCGCCAGCGTGTCGGCCAGCCCCGCAGTGCTTCCGCGCATGTCTGTGCAGTGTGTGGCTGAGCGCGCCTGACTGACTCCCACCGGCACGCCGCGCCGACAGATTACTACAAGTAATTGCATTATCACCCGTCCCGCGCTCTGACGTACCCGTGTTTGCTTGGGGCTCAACGATTCTACGCGACCAGCTACATTAGATGCTAGGATCGCGTGTTTCAGATAAGAGGTCCTTAACCAGCTGAAATTGCTCACCTCTCTTCGATAGACCTTGCTCTTTTATGCGAGATCCTCGTAAAAGTGAAGTCAATGAGAATGAGTCAAGTTTTCCGCGTCCTCGATGCTCTTCCTTATTAGAGTAATGTAATAAGATAATGTCCCTTAGTTGACAGACATTGTATTTCTTAAGCGTCAGGTATCCATTATCTTCTATTACTTAATTTGTTTACATTATCGGTTCGTAAGCACGAGCATAATGTTCGCTAATACAAGACAGGGTATTACATTGAGGAGAAGCATTTTTCATCCCATTATAGCCTGGGTACGTGGAAGATGCGTAATACCTACTTATAGAATAGAACCACAACAATAAACACAGGACTACTCTCTATTTGCTCAATTGAGTCACCATTGTGGCCACCAGTATGATCGAAGTAAATTCCGAATCTCAAGAGTGACGACTCCTTATTGTTCGTACCTATAATAAGTTTGTCACGTCTTTTACACACTTGGTGACAGATTTTTCAAAACTTTTTCTTACTATATAATAATATATTTACTTAGATTGTCTCGGTCTCGTCATGTAGCAGCAGAGAGATAGAAGCAGGATCAAATGAGTATAGATAGGATTCAAATGATTTCTCGAGTATCGATAACTACTAATTCTAGGATATATCATAGCCGTGACAGAATGTACTGCGGAACTGCAGAACCTTGGGCTACTATATAAGAGGGGTTTGCAATAATCTGCAAGCTTGACAGCCCGGTTTGTGACAGCAGTTTGAAAAGTGCAGATATTTATCAGATCGCTGCTACTTGATCTCTGTTAGCAGTCCCTTACGCGAATACTGAAAGGCTACTCAATTATAAGTAGTACCTATATATCATGCCATCTCCATCTTTTTACAAAGAGTTTGGAGTGATAGAACTATGCTTAAGCGGCACTTCAAATTGAATGACGTTTGAGTATTTCAGCATTAGCCTGTTGCGACATCCATGAGAAGAGGAGGTGTACTTTTTTGAGACAAGCCCGCCACAACCTACCAAAATTGCTACAACTCCTGTATGCCAGGATCTATAGGAGATACAATCATGAAAACACTGGAACACTGAAGCCGCGGGCTTCTCAGGCGTCTCAGGGATTCCCGATTCCCGCAACGAAATACACACACATCATACATACATACATCAACAGCTTATAAGTGCCCACTGCTGAGCGAAGCCTCTTCTCACATGGAGAAGGTTTAAGCATTAATCACCACGCTTGCTTAATGCGGGTTGGCGATTTCAAACTAATAATTAGATATAAGCCCAGGTTTCCTCAACATGTTTTCTTTCACCGTTTATCAGTGGTGTCTAAATAATCTTGGAAAGTACATATAACTCGGAAAAAGTCACATTGGTACTTGGCGTTGGTAGGTTTCGAAGCCGCACTCTCATGCATGAGAAGCGGGCGTTTTAACCTCCGGGCCACCACGAAACGACGAAATAAATCAGAAGATATTATAAGAGGAAAAGAAAAAAGGAGATATAGATAAAAACAAACGTAGATATTCTTCTCGGTTCTAGCCCTAATAGAGTAATACATCAATAGGCAACATAGTACTCGCGAAACGTTTATCTCTGCCCTCGCGATCTTTGTAAGAGTGACCGTGAGGATAATAAGACAATAGGCCGACAAATCACGATCAGTAGGGCACTACAACTGCCTACTTCCTAACTGAATCAATCCTAAATATTATAACTACGCATTCAACATTGACCGTTGATCTTTAGTAGGAATTGTCCACTTCGTTAACACCATGAGACGTACCTGATTGTAATTAAGGACATTAGGTTTTACATTAATTGGAGAAACCATCTTTGTGGAACATATTTATAACGACTGCCTCATTTGCGGAGTGGTCGCAAATGCGACTGCCGGGCAAGGGGTCTCGGCTTCGATTCCCAGGTCGGGCAAAGTATTACTGGTTTTTTTTAATCTTAGTAGTAGCACGGAGTCTTGAAATGTGCCCGGTATATGGCATGAGGCTCACCCCCTATTATATAGGACTCATAACATAAATAGTGGATAATGGGTGCTACACTGTACAGTGGCATTAAGTGTCGTAATGTACACCTCTGCCTCCCTACGGGGATAAAAGGCGTTATGTTATTTAAAACGTTTGTGAAATTAACTGGTTTTAAAAATGGCTTCGTAATCTTTACACTAAACTATGATTAGCTGAAGGACTTATGACTGGTTACTCCACTACGCTGCGGTACAAGTACGGGTAGTGAAATGCATAATTGAATATTTACAAACCATATGCTAATAATGGAGAGAAGCGGAAAATGAAGCTTGATAGTTTGTAGATGTATTTGCAATGGTTTCCATTATTTTCCAGTTAATGTAAGACTCGTAAACAAAACTGCGATGCGACGTCGCATCGCAAAAATGTTCGAGCTCCCTCTACGCATCGCAAGAACTTGCGAATTAGCATCGCGCATCAAAATCCTATCTTTCCAAAATCTTCTTTGTTTCGTTTTCCTGTATCTCCTAAGCAAAATAGAAGAGCTCACTTCTTTTTACGAACCACGTTACGACCTAGTTTTCAATTTAAAATACGTTTAGTACTGTTAACGGTCGTCGAAGGAATGGTCACCCTGGGAGACGCCGTGTCGTACGAAATCGCATCGCAGCAATTCGCATCGTAATTTTTTGCGTTGCGAATCCGCATCGCATCGCAGTTTTGTGTACAAGCCCGTAGTCTACTTTAAATCTAGAAATAAATAACATTTTTAAAGTACTTACCGAAATTTGAAACCTAGTAGTAAATATATAGGTGGGTTCCTTTCCATCAGTGACTAGGAAGTATGGCGAGGCGAGCAGGTTGCGGGAAGACCGCAGCATCGTGGTCGCGATGTAGAAGAATAGGGTTATACCGCCTATTAGCACAGGCCTGGATATAAGAAAGTGATTGTAAGTTCTTATTATAAGCACATTTAAGTGTGGGAGAGCCATGCTTCGGCACGAATGGGCTGGTTCGACGGGAATTATAACACGGCCTCACAGAAAACCGACGTGAAGCAACGCTTGAGTTGTGTTTCGTCGTGATAGTTAGGTTACCGGAGGCCCAGTTACTCCTAATCCCCAAGAGGCCGGTAACGCATTTGTAACGCTTCTAGTGTTCCAGGTGTCCATGGACGACGCCGATTACTTACCATCAGGTGATCCGTCTGCTCGTTTACTGGCTTAAGCCGTAAAAAAACACACCCCCACGTCCCCGAAACATCCTTAAGCTGCGGGTGTTCATGGACGGCACCGATTGTTTACCATCAGGTGCTCCTTTGCCGACTAACGCAATTTTAATCTAGTATTAGTTAAATTAAGGCGTTTGTCACAAGAAAGGCATTAACCTAATGTAGGTACCTATAGGTATGTATACTTAACACAAACTTTTCGCAGTGATGTATTATTAGTCCTATATAACTAACTAAATATCCGAGTCTATTGACGAACATCGAACCGAACACAGTTCTGGAGTATTATCTAGTGTAAATAAAAATGCTGTGTTATTTACCTATGAGGATCGTCAACGTCTGGCAGGACCCTGTCCACAAACATGTCGAGCAGGCCCCAGCCGCCGCGCCAGTGCATAATATTGCTCAGAATAAATATATAGGCGTACACCCGAGTTATTATCCTCTCGCGCACCCACGAGATGGCGCCGCCTTCGGGCTTGCTCCATGCTCCGGCTGAACGAGCTAACAGTCTTGTTCTGAAAATAAAATAAGTATTCGTAAGTTGTTGACTTTAAAAGTACAATTAAGTATAAAATAGATTTTAATCTGTAAATTAAGATTTGTCTTAAAAGATTCAAAGGTAACTAGTATAACAAGAGATAGAGTGAAAGGACATTTATATATAGGTAGGAGTAGTTTTTTCTATCATAAACTTCATTTTATTATAGAATTACTTTTCCTGGTATATGGCAATAAGCTCGCACCCCCTATTACATAGGACTCATAACATAAATAGTGAAAAAGCGGGTTACATTGTAAATTGGCATTAAGTGTCGAAATGTACACCACTGCCTACCCTTTCGGGGGTATGTGAATGAAGCGTGATGTTATGTGAATTATTTTTCGTAAATATGATTTTTAACCCGCTTTGAATTTGAGAATAACTCTAAGTTGGCTAGATTGTGCCCAAATAGTGAAACGCTACTCAATTTTAAGTCGCGCTTATTAAGTATAGTTCTGTCTCTACAAATTCTATGTAAAATGACAGAGATGGCACGATATTTATATGCTACTTAAAATTGAGTAACCTTTCAGTATTCGGGCGTTAGATGCCAAATAACTTCAATCGCTGTCAATGCGGTGAGATGGTCGACCACCTCGGCCACCACGGCCTATCGTGTAGCAGAAGCGCGGGCCGGATAGCCCGACACGCCAGCATTAACGACATCATCCGTCGAGCTCTTGTCATCGCCGGTGTACCAGCTGTTCTGGAACCAAAGGGTTTGGCACGCGACGATGGTAAGAGACCCGACGGTATGTCCATTATGCCCTGGAAGCTGGGAAAGTCTTTGGTGTGGGACGCAACCTGCGTCGACACCCTTGCACCTTCTCATCTTCCAGTAACGGCGAGTTGTGCTGGTTCGGCTGCTGCCTCTGCAGAAAACCTCAAGCGGCGCAAGTATAACAACCTTGCTGGTAGTTATATCTTTGAGCCGTTTGGGGTTGAAACGTTAGGTCCGTGGGGTCCGAGTGCGCTTAAATTGTTCAAAAACATTTCGAAACGCCTGGTCGACACATCTCGTGACCAGAGGGCTGGTCTTTTTCTCGGTCAGAGGTTAAGCATTGCCATACAACGTGGCAATGCTGCCAGCCTTCTGGGTACTTTCCCCACTGACGTCGATGCGGACGAATTTTTCGATGCCTTATAAATAGTTTATTTTTCCTATAATTAATTTTAATCATAAGTTGTATATATTTAATTTAGTAATATTTAGTTTTAATTTTATTTATGTAATAGTTGTTATTTAAGTTTTTTATTCACAAAATAAATAATACCAGCACCAATCCTGCGGAGTTAGCTCGCCTATTGGCTGTGGGTGAGTGGGAATCAGGTCTCTGGCTTCAGGCACTTCCGTCATTCAATATTGGCACGATGTTGAATGACTCAACTTTTCGGCTTGCTGCTTGCTTGCGTGTAGGTGCACCCTGTGTTTCTCCGCATCGCTGTCAATGCGGTGAGATGGTCGACCACCTCGGCCACCACGGCCTATCGTGTAGCAGAAGCGCGGGCCGGATAGCCCGACACGCCAGCATTAACGACATCATCCGTCGAGCTCTTGTCATCGCCGGTGTACCAGCTGTTCTGGAACCAAAGGGTTTGGCACGCGACGATGGTAAGAGACCCGACGGTATGTCCATTATGCCCTGGAAGCTGGGAAAGTCTTTGGTGTGGGACGCAACCTGCGTCGACACCCTTGCACCTTCTCATCTTCCAGTAACGGCGAGTTGTGCTGGTTCGGCTGCTGCCTCTGCAGAAAACCTCAAGCGGCGCAAGTATAACAACCTTGCTGGTAGTTATATCTTTGAGCCGTTTGGGGTTGAAACGTTAGGTCCGTGGGGTCCGAGTGCGCTTAAATTGTTCAAAAACATTTCGAAACGCCTGGTCGACACATCTCGTGACCAGAGGGCTGGTCTTTTTCTCGGTCAGAGGTTAAGCATTGCCATACAACGTGGCAATGCTGCCAGCCTTCTGGGTACTTTCCCCACTGACGTCGATGCGGACGAGTTTTTCGATGCCTTATAAATAGTTTATTTTTCCTATAATTAATTTTAATCATAAGTTGTATATATTTAATTTAGTAATATTTAGTTTTAATTTTATTTATGTAATAGTTGTTATTTAAGTTTTTTATTGAAATACATGCCATTAACATTAAAAAAAAAAAAAAATAACTTCTCTTCAATATCTAATGAGAGTAGCAGTGACGTAGCGCAGTACGACGATTGATTGCTATTTTGTATTCCACAGGCATCTTCTTGATTAATTATATTGAAATGAGAGCGATGACGGCGATGATTTGAAGCTTTTAGTGTATCATGGTTATTTAATTTTATTTGTGTTAATAAATGTTATATATGTTTATGTCAAGCTGGTCACTTTCAATAGGGAAACTTATTTATGTTCTTCTTTTGTTTAGTTAGAGTATATATGAGTGTGTTTCTGACTAGCTTTTTAAATTTACACGATGAATAATTATTACATTATATATTGAAAATATTTAACAATAAATTATTAACGGCATATGACGTTAAAGAGAGAAAAGTGTGTAAACATTTTTATTGTTTTCTGTGGAAATGTAGATAACCTTTATACATATGTACGTACATTTATCACCCTCGTTTTTATTTTTTTCGATAGATGCAAACTTCTTTTAAAGCCTACTGTAACACTTCTCTGCATCACCCTATGGTTGGCTGGTAGAGAATGCCATTCGGCATTAAGTCCGCCATTGTATACAGTTGTACATAAAGTGTTAAATAAATAAATAAATAAAAAATAAATAAATAACCCATTTACCACTTTTAAAGTTAATAATTTATATTGCGTCATTTTTTGGTGGATGTAGGGCGTAAATAGAAATTATATTCTACTCTAACCAACTTCATAGGTAGTTCCGTATACTAACCTCATCATAACGAAAACAGGCAATTCTAAAACTTATTAAGGTACCTACACTAGTTCTGAACGTTGTCCCTTACTAGGATTTTCTCCTGTGTCGTGGGTGTGTTTACAAACATACAAGTTCACATACACATGACATCCTATGTATTGAACCTGTTCTATAACTATGAACCCGTATATCCCCAAGTGGTCACCGGTGACCGCTCTCCTCTAACCACATTATAGACCTTATTACCAATGTTTATAGACTACTTTTGTATGAACAAATTTAGGGGATGTTTTTCAACAATTTTCAACAATTAGTACTAACTCACTAAGGGACTAAGGTCTCAAGACATGTATAGGTGACATGTCGAGCGAAGGCGGCCGATGTCGCCTGACATATACGGTGATAACGCGCAACTTATATCCACCCACAGTGCGTTGATGTTGCCAGATATGTCGACGTCAGTCCGGCAACGTCGCGCTACTTCACCCGACGCGACGTCGCTAGCGACACGTGTTGCAGGACATTTGTACCGAATCCTTGACTTAAAGAACCCCATGCAATAACGCCATTAACATAAATGAGTGAAGATATTTTACCCATTGTCATAACTACTTTCACAGCAATCATAATAACTCTATACACTATATAAATAGACTAGAATAGACAACGTGTGTTTGTGACGTTTTATACCTCTCATAAAGGTATTTGCTAAGATGCAACCTTTGCATAATAATCTTGTTATGACTGCGCTCCGAACATTACTCTTTGTTTCATTCTGCCTTTAAGATGAGTAGATACTTACTTACTTAGTATCAGTTGTAAATGTATGATTTTATTGTCCATAACGTTATTTTCTTTTTCGATCTCTTTGACTGGATATGGTCTTATATTGTTATCATACAAAACTAAGTATCTAACTAAAGAATTGTATTTCGAAACCTAAGCAACCTATGGAGTTTCTTTCTCGTTCTTCTCTATAGAAATCTACTACTATGGAATGAGCAATTAACGTCACTTTGAATTTTTTTGTTGACATTAAAAAGTGACTAATTAAAATAAATGAGTTTGACTTTGACTTTGAATAGGTATACATATTTTTATAGGTACCTATTTTGTGTGTTGTTACAATGAGACTGTTTGTTATGTGTTTTATTGAAAACCACTAAACTGATTCCGATGAATTTTGGCACAGAGATAAATGGGATCCTAGAATCAGTCTCTGTTAATATTTATTGGTCCTAGTTCGAGTCGGAACCCTAGCAACCCACGCCATCACAAGTGCTTTGCGGATTATTTAGGAAACTGTGTCAATCTACGATCAGTTCCAAATGTCAACCTCCAAAAAATAATTTAAGTCATATGTCACTTACCTCACAATAGCGAAGCTGATATGTATCACAATACCCAGTAGATATATCTGGGCGAAGGGGAACAGGGTCGGCTTCAGCTCCATCAAGCCCCACGTTCCCCGCCATACGCTGACTACATGAGGAGCCACGATAAAGCAGGAGAATACAGCGTCACCTAAAAAGGCGATTGATTTTATTTATTTATTTATTTATGTACACATATTCAACACAGAGGATAACACATATATAAAAACCGAGTTGATATGGTTATTATAGCTATATGCTTAATCAAAACCTAGAATATTAATTGCAAAAAAAATAAGTCCAATTATACCTTTTAAAGACCATGGATTCAGATCCTATGCTAAGCCATGCTTATCTTTTTGAAGGGGCAAATCATCCGTGACGTGTGAGGGAGTGTCAGACTCTTACTAACTAAGAACCACACCGTCCCTACTTTGCACCCAGGCAACCCGTTAAGACCTCCGCGGCTTCGTATCGGCATCAACCCTATTGGGCCCATCTGTGGTGGTCTGATGGCTCTTTGAGGCGCGCGCGGAACGCAACGCGCCGTATGTATGCTCGGGTCTGGTTCTGGTCGGGCATCCTTACTATTGTAAATGGGAAAGTGAGTTTGTTTGTTTGTTCCGCTTTCACGCCGTAACTTCTAAACCGATTGCTTTGAATTTTTGCAGGCGTAAAGTTAGAAGTCCGGAATAAATAACAGGGTACTTTTTATCCCGGAAAATTTTGATATTCCCGAGGGAAAACAAAAGAATTGGTATAGATTGTGTATTGGTATATGTCACATAGGCTACTTTTATCCTTTTGTGACGCGAGCGAAGCCGCGGGTAAAAGCTAGTGTTACATGAACGTCCTTTTAACCGACTTCATTAAGAGTCGGAGTTTCCAAAATTAAAGCAACAAGGGTTTGCAATAAAACGTAATTTCACGGTCGACTGCACATACTTATTGAATATTCAAGATTAACCGCCTGATTTTCAATCAACAGGTTAATTACCATTATTTTATTCAGCTATTAAAACAGATGTGTAAAAACTTAATTGTAAATGATTTATCATTAGAATTAAAACGAAATGTAGACAGTGTAGCAACCTATACCGTAGCTAGCTTCATCACAGCTGCACTCCGGGTCGATGGAGCTGGCGCACGACTCCAAAGACCTGGTCTTCTCCAGCTTCCGAGGACCTGACTCCGGGAGAAGACTTTCCGATAAGTTTGGTGGCATCTGTAAAACCGAATAAGCGTTTAGAAAATGGTATAACAAAAAATATTAAAATGTAGTAGGTACATGATTTACTTTAAGAGATAATTCTATTTTACATTTTTATTTTTGTACATTTATAAAATATAATTATCTCCTCTCCTATCCTATTTTCTCTATAGTACTGTCTTGTCCAATCGTGTAGATGTACCAAATATTTATTTCCAAAGAAAAAAAATTGAACACAGCTAAACAATTCTTTAAGTCGCCAATGACGTGGTTTTGTTCGGTAGGTGAACGAATCCCCAAAGACTCCCCTATTATAATTATAGTAAGTACAAATTAGACACATTTTCACAAGGTTTCTCATCATAGAAATATTAAAAACATTATATCTATGTTCCTCACAATTTTAAGTACAAAAAATAGATACTTAAGAAACGTGTGGTCAGGACGAAATACGGACTAAACCCCAAGGTTTTTAATAAAGGTAGGTATAGTGAGTAACCTTCATGTATTGTTAATGTGTTCGCCTACCTGTATGGGTACAGATAATACTCATTAATAATACTGATGTCCAAATATCGACCGTCAAAACCTTCCACCCCACCCGAATTGTATCGATTGCCGTATGAAGACATGACAACTATTTGGAGCTAACTTACCTATTGGATTTTTCCATAAATAATAATTCCATTATTAGAAATAAATAATTACCATGTGCACGAGTATAATATAGAATTATTTGTAATAAATCTATACAGATAAATAAAATTGGAGTGTCTGTTTGTAATATTCAAATAACCTTTTTATTACATGCATATGAAAATTCATACAATACATACGTGATGTTATTCACGCCTTTTATCCCGAAGGGGTAGGCAGACGTGCACATTATGCCACTGTACAATGTAACACCCAATTTTCACTATTCATGTTACGAGTCCCATGTAATAGGGGGTGAGCCTATCATACAATACACATACAAAAATAACGTTTTTTTACAGTTTTTGTTTGTCTGTCTATCTGTTTGTACTGGTTAATGGAATGGCTTGACCGATTTTGAAAAACTTATATTAGCAGGTAGCTGATGTACTAAAGAGCAACATAGACAACTTTTATTTTGGAAAATTAAAACAAAAAAAAGCTAAGTTTTAAATATATTTTACGCGGACGAAGTCCCGGGCTAGTAAATAATAGAATCTATAATAAAAGAAAGTCGTGTTAGTTACACTATTTATAACTCAAGAACGGCTTAATCGATTTGGATGAAAATTGGTGGGGAGATAGCTTAGAGGAGGAGACGGACATAGGACACTTTTTATCGAAAATTGCGCGTATGAAGTTGAGGGCAGAAGCTAATAATAGTACCTATAGTATAGATGACACCACATTGTACAATATCTACCTACATATAAACATAATTGTAGAAAAATTTATAAAAAACTAGTTAAATGAAAGAAAATAAACATAAAAGTAATTTTTATTTGCTAAGCGATTGTATATTTCACGAGTTTTGCGTAAAATATTTTTAATGTTGTTTCCCACTACCTCTATACTAGGTATTTCTCCTGTATCGCGTATCACTTACGCCCGAATTCTGAAAGGCTACTCAATTTTAAATTGTATATATATATCTCTGTCATTTTACAAAGAATTTGTACTGACAGAAGAACACTTAAACGCGACTTAAAATTGAGTAAGTTACAATATTCGAGCTGTTATTCTGAGCGACTCAGCAGTTAGAAGCAAAAACCATATTTGAGTCGCAAGAGTTTATATTTACTTATAAAAATGAATGGATGATGACAGGGTATAAAAATTAAAAATCTAATTACTCCGTAACTTAGGTAATGAATAAATATTACACACGTATTTTTTTATTTTGTCGTATAATAAAACAATACTTAGATAAAACAAATCAAAGTTTAGGAGTGGGGGCTAAAACGTCATTTCTACGTATAAAATGTACATAGAAGTGACGTCACGCGACATTTCAAATCAATATATCGTCGAAAGTATTCGTTTCTGTAAGAAAATCAAAAATGCGTGTCTAATGATTTAAAATAATCTACCAGACGGACATTAAAATAAAAATTAGGCATCTACCCTATTACACACACGTTAACGTCATAAACTACACTCACAGTCACGCGGTTGCAATAGTGAAAGGCTATGTCGACCCGGTCTAGTTCAGGAATTTAGGCTGAAAACCAACAAGTTGGGCTAGATCCGTAGATCACGATTATATCAGCACCTGAGTCTAGACTAAATCTGCACTGGATTTGGGAAAATACTTATTATTTATAACAAATAATTGCTGATGTAGAATTTTTTGGTTGACGTAAATCAATACAGTTCTAACATACAAGCGAGTTGGTATGCATGTCATTGATGTCCTAAGCATTATTATTGGGGTTATAACAGAGCATTAGTGTATGTTACAGTTCAATTAATTAGTACTTACGTCAGTTTCATCCATTATTTTAAAAAAACTTCTTTTCACCTAATTTTCACTTGTAATAATTTAATTTTTTGATCCACTATTCGTAAGTAGCAGCGTCTATTATATTTTAGTACAATTAGACCATTTTTTTAAGGAGGGAAAATCATCGAATGACTGCTCCCGCCTGGGTGAGGCGGGAGGGAGTGTCAGATTCTTACTGACTAAAAACCACCCCGTTCCTTCTCCTGCACATCGAGCCGGAGCCCCGGTAACCCGTTAGGTTCTCCGCGACACAAATAGACGATAAGTTGTTTTTTTCAAACGACAGTACTATAAAATGCCAAGTAAAATACCCATATATTTTAGCTCTTTAAAAAAGGTAGTTTTTTTCACACATGAATGATTTAATGCCTTATTTAATGTCTGATTTGAAACAGTTGACGAAGCAAGCAAAATAACAAATGACTGCAGATGTATGCGCATCAATGCAGATGGTTTATCTTCAAGATAACTAGGATTACTTTAATCTAGTCATAACATGAATAAAACTAGTCTAAATAGAGCTTATAATGTTGTTCACATGTAACATACGTTAAAAATATACTAAGCTACTAAAAGCTACATTACCCCTTTCATTCTGGAATGGAATAGGAGGTAAGCGAGCTGTCAAGCGATCAGCGCCCCCCCCCCCTTGGGCGCAACACCAGAGGAGTCAAAGGTGCCTTGCCGGCCTTCTAAAAAGGAATACACTCTTTTCTTACTTTTCTTAAAGATTTGAAGGTCGTATCGGTGTGGAAACACCACTGACAATAGATCATTCCATAGTTACAATTGTTCTCAGTAGTTCGAGTACCTCCTAATAAATACCTACTAATAATAGAAAAAAAGAAATATCAGTGGCACAGTAAGAATACTGTTTAGAACCTGTGATCTCTTTGCTCGGTAATCGCGCTACCAACCTCTCTTGCAACAGGCCAGGCAACTAGGTAACAATGTATTAATGGATAATACTTCAAAGTAGTACAAACTGACTAAGCTGAATGAAGATGGACAGACACATAGTATGGTTTCTTTTTGCATTAAAAGTGGTTTATAGGTCAATAACAAACGATAGTACAAAATGTATCGACTTGAGTATCTTAATAAAATTGCACGATCATTTATATAAGTGCACAATTTCGTTTGTTTATTAGTTTGTCTTTCTATGACGTTTGAATGACTGCTCCCGCCTGAGTGAGGCGGGAGGGAGTGTCAGACTCTTACTGACTAAAAACCACCCCGTTCCTTCTCCTGCACGTCGAGCCGGAGCCCCGGTTACCCGTTAGGTTCTCTGCGACATCACGTTGCGATACGGTGTGATTTTTAAAGTATGATTTTTGTGTTTAGGTTATAGTTATAGTCAGTATAGATACCTAAAACTACAAAACTTCCAAACTGTTTTGGAGGTTTTGTTTTTTTTTAAACTGTCAAACACCGCGCGGTCAGCTGTGACCGCAACCTATTGTTCTTTAATTGTGTCTAGAATGACGGTACTAAAAGAGGTTGATAATCATCCAATTTTCCTACCACCTTGGGTAAGGCGAGTGTCCAGACTCTTACTGACTAAAAACCACCCCGTTCCTACTCCTCCCCGTTCCTGCACTTCGAGGCGGAGCCCCGGCAACCCGTTAAGTACACCGCGTCTTCATAGTTAGGAGTGTGACGTAGGTTCCTATTTTTCCTTTAAAAGAAATTTCAACTACTCTAAATGAGTATCGAAACGTACCCTTTAACTAGTACATTCGGTTAAATATAGCAACTGGATTAAAAATATAAATATGAAGGTCATTGCTTTCAAAAAAAAAAATGTTAAGTACCTATTCATAATAATTGTATTGACAATAATAGGTAATACGGTTGTGATTTATTTTAAAAACTTAAAATGCGTCGATGCATTTGTCCAAGACATATTTAATAATTAAATAAAAATCTGGTTTTTGTTTACGAACTTAAATATGAAACTGGTTTAAAGAACCAACAACAATGTAAAACACAATTATTGAACAAATAATCCTTGATGACTTACGAGACTCGTTTTTTGTTTATCGTTTTTTTTTTATGGAATCTATGTAGGTAATGTGTATGGCACCCAGAAAAAGGACACGCTACAAAAACTAACAAAATATATCTGCTGCTACACATCAAAACATATGGATAAACAAAGATCAGTGATAACGTAATACTTAATTATATTTGTTCTAATTCTAAATATTTATTTCTGATATTAGCACTTTCAACCAAATAAACTCTTCAACGACTCCATAGATAAATTAGTGTTCTAAAGAATAATTCCAAATTCAAGTATTCCAAAAAATGTCTTACCGGCCAGGTCCATGTTGAAAAAATTTCTCAAGTTTCGTGGAAACTTTTTTGTTGCTAGCCTTTGATAGCGTATATTTTTTAAGTTGTTACATGGTAAATCGATTGTAACAGTTGAAATGGAGTGATTTTATAAAAACTAACTTCATTTACTTTGTTCGAGAAGAATCTAGAAAAGTCTGTAAGAGATAAGTTCATAAGAAAAAATTGTTGTGTTTTT